AAGTTTTAGAAGTTAATCCTCCTTTAGTCTCATCTTCGGGTCCCAGCTCAAATGTCACAAAACCTTTCTCTGACCCCTCAGGAGCCATCTTTTTTCCTTCCCATTTATTCCCATTGCAACATATATGTACCTGTGTGACAGCAATATTAGAGTTTTAAAGCTGTTTCTACTTAAGATTTTAGTCCCTTAAAATCTTAAAGGGTAGGGATGGTTCCTTTAATATCTTTTTGTCCTTTCTATTGCCAAGTAAAGTGTTTGCACTTCATAGTTATTATATTTGGGTAGGCCATTTTGGAACTGAATGTTTGAAAATGTTTTTTGAGTGAAAATGCTTCCTGTCCTATTAAAAATACATTTTGTTAGAGTACATTTTTAGATTCTCCATAAGTCAATTGGGCGGGTTAGGAATATAAACCCCATATTTTGTGTCACATTATTTATTGTTGTATTTGAACTCATTTCCTGTCTCATTTTTTTTTTCACAATTAATTAATTTTGTCCTTTAGAGAGAAGAATTTGGTAGTGCCTTTCTACCTTTAGGCATTTATACTTCAGAAACAAAATTGTTCGATTTCGATGAATTTTGCTAGTTACACAATTTCAGCTTTTAAATCTAGACATCTTTATCAGGTTAGATTTTTTTTCAAATTAATTATAAATTGGATGGAAAAGGAATTTCCATAGGGATACTGTGGAAGGAAATGCAAATGTTAACTGAAATTATTATTGTCATAATCTCTTTGACCACATAACAACTAACTTCCTATGTTTATTCAATTCTTTTTAACAGTAATGTTGACATGACCAGGGTCACTCTCTGGTATGGTGCCTTTGCATAAATTAAGAAACACATCTCCTCTAGGCATTGCTTGGCAAACAAAGCAAGGGCTGGATTGTAACCCCAATCACCTCCGAGTCAGGAAACCTACACAGGGCACAATTTATACAACCTGACCGTGGTGGCTATATTATGCCCTCTACTTTTAGAAGAGTTGTTTGTTTCTGTAAAATGTGGCATATTCCAGGAGGTCCCAAAGGTTTAATATTCTCTACTGAGTATAAGACACATGAGTACACATTGTACAATGTACTGAGTGAAAAGAGATTACGGAGGCCTTTATTAGAAGCATCAAAATCTCAAATGTGTGGTTACTCTGGTGGGAAAAAAACTCAAAGGTGGAAATGAGGTAAATGACAATCTCCTCTCATAACCCACATGTTAAGGCAGAGGCGAGAGGGTCTGTGGGATAGGAGCCAGGACACTGAGAATCTTCAGATGATGTCGTCCATTAATGGCATGTTTGGGTTGGCTAAGACACAGAGGAAATAGCACATGTTCAAAGTGGATGAACATGCACGTACTTAGCTTCTGGCCACAAAGAGAAAGGCAGAGCCTGTCAACTGTCAGTGAGGAAGAGCCAAGGGCAAAGCCAGCAAGTGCCAGCGTAAGTGTAAGAAAGGACCACACATTGAATCACTTTGTAAACTAATTACTCTGAAATCTTGAATTTCTCACCAACCATGAAATTTAATTTGATGAGATAAGTGTAACTCGTATCCACTGACTTCGGAGCCACTTCTTAAATTGCATGCAGAGAAGGAAATGAAACACATTTATTGAATAGCTCCAGTGTTCTTCGGTGTGTTAGATGCTTTCACATACATTGTCTCATTTAAAATAACCCTTAAATAGTTCCATTTGACCTAAAGAGGAAGATGCTGTAATTGTCAGAAAGGACAAGTTGAATATTTCTCTTCTAGATTTTTGTTCGATGGAAGCAATGACTTTCACTTAGGCTTCACTGTGTTTTTTCTAGTTGCAAATCGCAGTGATGAATGTTGGTATTAAATGAATGACCTGATTCATTAATGCATGTGCTCCTTTCTTTTTCCACCTACTGGTCCTGGTTCTGTTTTCTTTCCTCCTACTGATTTTTCTCAATCTGCTTCGCCCCTTTTTTTTTTATTTTTGGTTAGCATCATGTATTGGTATCCTGCTGCTTTCCCAAACCCTCAGACCTCATTTAGTGTATAGTGCTCTCTTCCAATCAGGGCCTCATCAGAGGCACACACTGCTCTCTGGTGTTCTTATTTAATGGGCTACAATCAAGGATAATAAGAGAGGTCTATTCTACAATTATTTTTGTGAATTTTTTTTCCTTTTGTTTCTTAAAAGAGAAATATTTTTACAGGAAAAATAGGAGTCTCTGTGTCATCCTCTCTCCTGGTTTATTACTTCTGTTAAAACTGAGTGTGGGCTAATAGATCTGGGGATTGAGTAAAAATATAAGGGAAACATATTATATTTGCTATTGTGATTGGTTCAAACTGTATTGAAAACAGAATAAATACAAAGTTAGGAGATTATTTGAAATACTCCTTTCTGGTTCTTTGTTGAGGACAATCTGCCTTCAGTTTTTGCTTTTTTACCTTTAGATCTTTGTGTATCCAAACTCCAAAAGTGACATCTCTGTTCTTAAGGAGTAAACAATTTAAACACAAAATGCTATAAAGGTATTGCACACACTATAGTAGGAAGGAGTGTATTAATCATGCCTTCCTATTTTCTGTAATTCTGAGGATTTGACATCTTGGAGCCTTGCTGACCATGCAAAGACTGTTCTTCCCAGAGTTGCCAGTTCTTGGGGATAGTAAATAACTTGTCCATCCGGGAGCACACATATCCCAGGCAAACTAATCGAGCCAGAGCCCACCACCCCACCACCTCCTTTATTGGGTATTCACACTCAGGACCAACGTTCCTCTTCCCTAATCACTCCAGAGCCAGGTACCAGACAAGTAGACATAGTTCTTGTACCCTAGAGCCTACTGAAACTATTTAGACTAACCAATCCTAAACCTGCTTACCTTGCCTTGCTTTTCCTGTAGAAACCACAGCAGAAGCTTTTGCCCACCTTTCCCCCTCATTCCTTCTGCTTCCTGACTGACCCTGATGCTTCCCTGTGTGGCCCTGTGAGGCATGAACTGCCTCCTCCTCTTGGGAACTGTGAATAACAAACTGTCTTTTCAATGCAACCCTCTCCTGATCTATTGGCCTCGCTTGAATAATAATAAAACTTGCATTTTTAAAACAAGGGGCTACACTGGCTTGGAAGTTTGGAGAAGGCATCCCCAAGGAAAGAGTTTGAAGGGAACTTGAGGCTACAGTGGTGTTACAATGGAGATGCGGGAGAGGGGAAAGCAGGGGATCCAGGCAGTGGAAAAAGGAAATGTGAAAATGAAAATGTGGTGTGTTCAGGGAACAGTGAGTACACGGGGTGGCATGAGTGTGGGACAAGAGGAGAGGTTGGAGATGGGGATGGAAAGATTGGTTGTGTTAGACTGCCAAAGCTTGCTGGGCCTGCTAAGGAGCTGGATTTTATCCTTATCTGTTTGAGGAGGCAGCAGATGTTTTAATCATGGTAACAGCATGAGTAGGTATGTGTTATGGAAAGATAACTCAGGCAGCCACCTGGAGGATGACTGTGAGTAGAGAAAAGGTTGGAGCTGGGAGGCTAGTTCAAGGCTGTCACAGAAGTTCAGTTATAAATGTGAAAACAGGGATCAACAAAAGTAGAAGATCAGACAGGCCATTAGGAATAGAATTAAGTACAGCATTTAAATCTCTGTACTCTTCCCTACGTTGTCTGCTGCTACGTTAAACTTCCTGGCTTTGGAAAAAGCTTTCCCCCAAAAGAGTAGGTGAGTAAAAATTACCTTTAAGTCTGCACATTACTTTAGTACTTTCTGATTTTTCCTTTCCTTGTCTCCAATTGAATTTAGAAATTCATGACAACCATTTGCATGAGTAAAATGAGTTAGAAAGGTTGATATATTAGAATTCAAGAGAAAAAAGTGTTTACATTTGATTATGTGAACTCTTACATAAGATACTATATTCTGTTTTTTCTTTCTATTTCTCATCTCCATTTTTTTCCTCCTCCCTTACCCTGAAAGTTATTTATTATATTCCTATATGCATTTGCTTTAGAAAAAGTTGTGTTTCTTTAGAGGTAAAAAAATCTTAGCTGTATATATTTGATGAGCTCAATCATACCTTCTTCAAAGCCAAAAACATTTCACAGCTAACAGGAAAGTTTTTAATGTCGCGATGATAGATATTTAGAATTGTCTGCTTTTGTAAATATATTATCCAGTACCATGACTAGAAAAAGAAAGACCAGTGAATAATGACCATGATTTGCCAATAGGAGGGGTGAGTAAACAACAGCATAATTTAATTATTCTCACTATCAGCTTGTCTTGTTTAAAAGTTTCCTGGCTGAAGAAAAGGCTTATTAGGTTATGTGCTATAGTACAGATAAAATAACATACTGGATTATTCACACTAGTGCAGAAAATTGATTTTATTTCTCCTACTTGCTGAATTCCAGACTAATGAGATTTGACTGTTATACAACTGTAACTGTTGTCGTGTAGCTTTACAATTACCAGAACTAGACTCTTTTATGAAAAAAAAAAAGCTGGTATACCCTTCTTTAATAGTTGACACATTTTTATTTCTCTTTACTTTACTTTAACCTTCCCCAATTATATTCTCTTTTTTTTTGTTAGTAGTATACCAAATAAATAACAGATTTTTCCCCATAAAAAGATTTTTAAAGTGAGGCATTAAATATTGATATTACAAATGTAATAATACAAATGTTTTCCTTTTGAAAGATTAGTAAGGATTGGTCACTTTCTGTTTTAGATTGAATTAAGTTAATGCAGCACAAACTCCTCTATAGTAATTTATGATATCTATGAACATCCTGTTACAGTGCAAAAATTCACAACCTCAGGAATAGTGACTGACAATGGCAAAGACATTTGGAATGCCCTAAGCAAAAGTGTCTGAGGTATTTAGATCTTTCGTTATTGCAGAATCATCAGCATTCCAAGCTTGCTTGCCAGTTTCTCTCCTTGTCTCATTCCAACATGTTCTTGGTAGTAGTTGTGCATTTTCTCTTTGCAGAACACAGTTATGTGGTTTTTACCTTCGTCATTTTGTGTGGCTTGCTGACCTTCAGCAGAGCTGAGGTTAGAGTAAACAAAGAATTCTTCACAATATCATAAAATTCTTGAAATCCAGGACTGCGTTTTGAGATTCTTTCAGATACACGTACCCTGTCTAGTATACAGTCCACAAAAGGTATAGTGAAGATGTGTGTGACGGTTGGTGATCGTGGTAGATTAGGGGACATTGCAAAGAGCCTATGACCCCCTGTGACTTGAGTGTTAATCTTGGGTTGTTGGACTGTTGAGCTTTATGAAGCTACTCCAAAATAATTCTATATTTGACAAAAAGCATTTTAAAGCTTAGTTTCTCTGATTAGCTGAATGCTTATTTATATGCAGAAAATTAATTTACATTTATAATTTGCATATATGATGCAAACCAAATACAGGCTGTAAACTAAGGGTTCAGTTCCTTGCAAAATACCTAGGACACAATCATTCCTAAAGAAGTATTTGTCAAAGGGAGCAGATTTGAAACGTAATAGATGTGAAAATGAGAAAGGATAAGTCTTTTGAGGCAGTAAGTGTCATCTCCATTGGTTGAAATTCCAAGGCATCTACATCTGTTGGACAAAGTTAACTCTTTGGAGGAAACTCACCTGCAGTGATGTGTAAATTTGATTCACTGATAAGAGAACTGTAACTGTCTAGGTGCTATCAGGAAACAGCCCACCTTAGAGGTTTCCCGTGAAAAATCTGTAAACAGGCACTTAGCATTTTCCAAAAGCATGTTGAAAAGATTGCAAATAGAAATGTAAATAAAGAGTAGATGGTTAACATGACAGCTATGTCTAGAGATACAACATTCTTGAAGAGAACTTTCGAGATCATCTAGTTCAACCCCATCATGGTAAAGATGAGGATTCTGAGAATCAGAGTGGTCACTGCTTTCTTGGTGTTACTTAGGTAGGCAATTCAATCTTTCTTTCTTTCTGTGTCTTTGTATCTTCCTTACTCTTTCATCATTCCATTTACTCCATAAATATTTTTAAAATGCATATTCTGTGCTAATTACTGCCTAATATGTTAAAGAAATAGAGAAGATGGATCATTTTTCTATTATACCAAAAATCTAGGAAAAGAGGGGAATTAGAGAGAAAGAAAATTTAGTTATTACAATTATGTGGTGCTTTAAAGCTTTTCAAGTATTTTTGCATAGCTTTTTCTATATAACCATAACAAACAATTTTTCATTATAAACCCTAAACTCAATATTTCTTTAGACCTGACTAGGGGAGAGCCTCCATTGAATGACAAATCTATGTTAGACAGCATCCTTTTGTGTAAGAATGTTCTGAGAACAATCATTGATCTGGCTCTCCAAATAGCATTGGAAACCATGCAAGACCAGTAGAATTTAACACATGTTTTTTTGTGGTAAAAGCCAGACTTGTAAAAATTGGAGCAGCATGAATCAGTTGACTATTAATGATTAAAATACTTTAACTATCAGGGAATTATTTCTAATATGGTCTTTCAGTGTCCAAGGTAGTTATCACATGCAAATCACCCAGATAGGCAAGCAATGACTGACCACATGTATAAGCAAGGCCAACTTTACTCTCCTGGGTACTTTAGTTAGCTTACTCTCCAAATAGATTTTCTGACTGGCCATGGAATCTCACGGCTAAAACTTTTAGGGTGTCAGGCACTAAGTCATGATAGGCAACTCATTGTCCATAGACATGATCAGATGATATAATAACCTATCTGAAGATGTTCTGAGTAGAAACTACAAGTTTTAGAGTGGCAGTGACTATAGCCAATGGTGAATGTTATCTGAGGAATAACTTCCCAGTTGCTTGGGTAGGGGAGCTTGACCAGGAGCAAGATCGAAAGGCATAGTGTGTCTGCTAATCTCTTCAACTCTTACTAACTATGGTTTGAAAGAGTTTATAATTTAGTGGGAGAAAAGAAGAAATTTTCATGCACGGATGCTTTTGCTTAGAGGAGGGTCACTTATCATAGCCAGCGAATTGAGGAAAAGATAACTGAGAAGACTTTCTGAAAGGTCAGATATAATCTTATTTCTGAAAGATGCATGTGAGTTGGCCAGGTGATGAATGAAGGGAACGGTGTTCTAAGGAGAAGAAACAGTAGGAGCAAAGTTATGGAAGCACAAAACAAGAAGACGGTTATAGGAGACTCTAGTTTGGGTTGGTAAAGTGGGAAAAGCAAAGCAAGGAAAGGTAGGAAATGAGGCTAGAGAAGTAACTTATAGCAGTAGATCTAGCTAATGACGGCCCAAATTGGGATAGTGGAAGTACAAATAGAGGAGATCATTTCTGCCTGAGGAGACCATGAGCTCCTGTTCACAGTGGTTGTCAGCAATTCAGCTGGAAAATCATGTCGATGATCAGAATATGTCACCCCCAAACATGCCACTTTGGCATAGTATTATTTTGAGCTGAAGACAATTTAAAAACAGCGAGTTTCATAAAAGCCCTTTCTTCTACTCATTTGCCTAAAAGCAGGACATAAATTTTCATTTGTAAAGATGTCTCATTCTCCCATACCAGGAGCAGAAGGACAACTCTTAGATTCTTAATTCTGAGAGACAACTCTGGACTCTTACCAGCCCAGAAAGAAGGGAGAGGAATCTACATAAGAACCCATATCTTCTATTAGTTTCTCCCCATATATTTGCCTTTGCACAGAAACTTCCTGCCCCTAAAAGCCTAAACCCTTTTTCCTTTGTCTTGTCACTTCTCCACAAATTCACTGTTTTTTATTAAGATGCTACATAAGCCCCAGGCGGTAACCACCCCCTTGGGTTACTTTTCAATGAGTTTCTCCTGTGTGTATGTGTGCTACATGTGTTAATAAACTGTTTTTATCTTGTTAGTCTGTCTTTTGTCAGTTCAATTTCCAGCGCCCCAGCCAGAGAAGCTAGTAAAATAGTTTTTCCCTCCCCTACAAAGGCAATGTCCTC